TGAACTTTTTTTACTGGTGTGTTTTGCTACAAAACCTAGAGGGACTTGCGATTTAATAGTTCCTCTTCAAAGTAGGAAACGTTGCTTTCCAAAGGCGGGGGGGGCGGTTATTGTTTTTCTTTCACAAGAAATGAGGGTCGCCAAGTTGTTTCCCTTCATAGTGAAGGACCATGTCTGTATCCTGCAGCAAATTTGCTGCTTTTATTGGTGGCTCCTAGCCAAAGAGAGGACAAAGTTCTGCCAAATGCCCTTCAGTTTCCATCACACTCCTGCTTGGCAAGGCTGTCAGTGGAAATCCTCCTACTGACTCCCTGGGTCACCGGTTCAAGTGCTCCATTGTCTCCAGATAATGTGGTGACCTTCCTAAAGAAGGAGCACTTTGAAGAATTTATTTTGTATCATAAAGAGAGTATTGGGCCTTAACCTTTTGAGTGAAAGTTGTCACTAAGAAATGCTGATTCCTCTGAAGCTCCTACGCTATTTTTAGTGTACCTTCTTACAGAAAGTTATGATGGTAACAGATAGCTCTAGGGAAAATTCTCTTCATGTCAGTCTGTGTTACTCTCAGCTGAGGGATAATTGATGCCTTTTGTAAAGGAAATACCTGTGATATACTTTAAGGAAACGAGGGAGGAAAGGAGGCAGTAAGTACTTCAAAATCATTCACTGAACATGCTAAAGAGCTTAAAAAGCTTTTATAAAGTTGTGACGTACTCATCCTGTGTGATGGTCAGCTTTGGTGTCTTCACTGTACAATACAATAAAAATGGTTTTAGTCATTAATCCTTTGTTTTGAAATTATTAAAAATAGCCAATACTCCCGGACTAAGTGTTGCATATAGACTCCTTCTGCAGAGGGGAAGCGATCAGCTGTCCTACTCCTGAGCCCTTCATTCCAGTACATAGTCTGTATTTGTGAAATTCATTTGGCTTAACAGGGTTTCGGATCCTGCAAAGAAGCAACCTCTGGAAAAATTATGAAAAATTAAACTGGAGATGAAAATAAAATGAGATACTGAGAGGTATAGACCCAGATACTTAATAGCAACCTGTCCTATTCAGACTTCAGCAAAGGAAAGAAAAGCACAGGAAAGGGATCCTAAAGCCTCCCCTGAGCACCTTTAATGCCAGTGGTGTCTCCAAAACACAGCACTTCCCCAATAACATTCACTCACTTTTCCTTAGAAGAGCTCCCCCTCATTGCTTGGTGGGGACTGTTCACCTTTCAGTTCCCCTTCTCTTCAAATAGACCTGCACAAATATCCAGTTCATAAAACCATCATCTAACACTGACTTGGATACGGGACAGGGAACCTTCTCCTGCTTCCAGAGATCCAGTAACAGCACAAACATCATCAATCAACAATTCCAACTCCCCTCACTTTCCCTGGGAGAGGTGCCAGCCCTCACTTGATTTGTGATGAAACCCTCTGTTACACATATGGAAAGGACCAAAAAGCCAGCTAGGCAGTCAGGAACATACTGCTCCACCTCGTTACTGTTGCACGGACCATTTGGGTTCTTATTTTACCCTGAGTACACGTGCTGGTTGAGTGTTCTTCATCTGTCTGCCAGTGCAACACAAGGTGGGGTTTTGGTACAGTTCTTCAGCTCATCAGGGGCTGACACCAATGCAGCAGACAGATTTGTTCTTCAATAAATAATTCAGAAGGCTTTTTTTTTTACATTTCGTGGTTGCTTAGCGATCTCGGGAAAGTCACTTCACTGTGTTGTGCTCAACTTGTCTTTGCAATTAGTAAAACCTTCTGAATCCCAGCAAACTCAAAGCTCCTCATCCACGCCTGTGCGTTTTTAAATCAGGCCTAATTAAGGTAGTCTGCGGATAGGAAGTTTGGGGGAGTTGGGACTCCCTCAAAATGCAGCACATCCCAGAGAGCACCACAGCCTGGCTGGGCACCACAGGGACTGGGAACACAGCCCCACGTGGCAGAGATGGCTGCTGCCGGGACGGGTGTCTTGGGCAGCTCACGCGCTGCCACCCAAGCCAACGGCGCTGGCAGCCTCACCGCGGTTTATTTAAAACCGACAGTACGAAGAGAAGAGAGAAAAGGAAACCAAAGAAGAGCTGCACAAACTGGAGACTGCTGGATTTGAACCCAGCCCCTCTACTTCCAGGCAATCAGAGCAACAGAGCACAGAAATGACGACTGCGCAAAACTCCTGAGGGATCCCAGTCAGACTTCTAAGCCCCACACTCTGTATTGGCATAAATCTGGAGAGACACGGCTTCTGCCGCTCAGATCACGGGGGCTGAGTCCCACGTGCACCGAGGTGTGTGACACGGCTCTGGCTGCAGCGGGCGAGTGGATCACGCTCAGCTGCCAGTAACAGAGCACAGAAATGACGACTGCGCAAAACTCCTGAGGGATCCCAGTCAGACTTCTAAGCCCCACACTCTGTATTGGCATAAATCTGGAGAGACACGGCTTCTGCCGCTCAGATCACGGGGGCTGAGTCCCACGTGCACCGAGGTGTGTGACACGGCTCTGGCTGCAGCGGGCGAGTGGATCACGCTCAGCTGCCAGCGAACGTGACATTCAGACCTACGGGCTGCAGCGTGGCGTAAAGGAGAGAAACAGCAAGCGCCTCCTTTCTGGGCACGGGAGGGGAGAAGCCAAATCCTACCAGAAAGTCTCCATTTGCTCCCGGGAGTCAGATCGACGGCTGGTGCAAGCGCATCACTTCTGCTTTTCACCAGCCAAAGACTTGCCCCTCTGGGCTTTAGTTTACAAATTACTGGAGAGCTAAAAGCCAGACCTCCAGCTTCACCAGCCTTAGCAAAGGTTATGTTTACAATTTATTAATTATTATCACTTATAATAACAGAACGCGAAGCTTCTTACCGCTTCTCCGTCCCCTGGGGTGACTCTCCCTTGCCCCAACATTCCCACCCTTAGGGAAGATGTTGTTTATTATGCTGATCCCACAGCCCAGGAATACTCTCCCGACAAAGCCCCTATTAACCTCAGAGTGTGGGCCTGAGTTTCTCGGAGTTTCCCACACTTTCTTCCCTATTTATGACATTCAAAGGGACCACAAAGGAAGCGTGCCTCACAACAGCCCACATTAGTGACGCTTTTTGGCTCTGCATTGTGATGACCAGCAATTCCTGTCCCGATAGACCATCTGGAGAGCTATTTTCCCAAGAAGCACATTGATCGATCAGCATTATGCGAGAGCCCTTTTAAAACTTGGGAACGTTATGCTCTTTGACATTAAATAGGTGTCTTGAGAGAGATTGTCAGAAAGATTTTAAAGCTTTTGGGGAAGGCACAGAAAAAAGTAAAAATCGCAATTATTTCTTTAAAAAACTCCATCAATAGCACTGGTGAGACAGGCTGACATGAATGTAGGAAGCAGTCTAAAATTAAAATGTTCTAAAAGAAAGCTTCAGGCCAGCAAGTCGTGAGCTCTAAGTACACCTGCAGACGTACAGGAGCACTAGTTTTTAAATCTGCATGACCTAGACAACAAAATTTGGGTTTTCTGTACTCTTTTCTGGTAGTTCACCTTTCTCCAAACCTGTGGCTACACGGCAACATGCTAGGTTCGAAAGCTAAGTGTCAGATGAGCAAGGAAAGCTGTCAACCGCTATTATGAGTGGTAGCAGCTTTTGTGAAAACAAGGTGTGTAGTAAGTCTGCACCTGGGCTGAAATCATCGCCTACAAACCAGAAGCAGGAAGCTCCCCGGTCCCACAGCGATCTCCTAGGCTGGCGGTCCTCCAGCTGCTTTGATTTGCGGACTGTAATGAGGACAAACCCAGTGCTGATAGTCTTGGGGTTGGCTGGTTACCTTTCCTGGATCCTCTGGGGTCATTCCTCAAGTCAAAGCCATCGGTTGCACACCCCAGCTGGGGCTGGGAACACTTCACGTGTGGTTCTTTGCCTTAGGAAAAGCTCAGACTCCTGCCTGACACGCAAGGTCTGTCCGTGCAGACATGGACAACTGTCGGCAGATTTCTGTTTCCCCTTCCATTCTTCCATAGCTACACCAAGCGAGGGTGGAGACACCTCCCTGTTCTCACGTGCGATTCTGAGGACTGCATCTTCACGATGCAACTCGTGGCTGTGATGGGACGTACAGAGGAACAAGGGCACTAAGGAAGCACGTCTCTGACCACGGCACAGCTGTCATCTCCCAAGAGCGGGTCCACATTTCACACCATCCTCCAAAGAAGGGAATTATTGTGTTGTGTTGTTTAGTCAACTCCACGTGTTTGGCAATTTTGGGGATTGCTTTCTTTAAATCCTTCCGTTCAAAAACAAGGAAGCCCCTGCCTCTGAACCGCACACAATTAATCTTTCATTCTGGCTCTGCAGCGACAGCCAGAGGCACAAACTCCTCCCACGGATATGAAGGACAGTGACAAGGATTTGGATCATAACTACGTCTCCACGGCACAGACTACTGCACTAACAGCTGAATTTTTAAAAAGCCCGAACTGAGTAAACTAGTTTCAGCCTTTTACCAAAGAGTAACTGGACTGCCTCCAGCACGGGATTTTTTTTTTTCCTTACCAAAATCCTTGTAGAAAGTGCATACTGCATCCAGTCCCTGATATTTTCTAGGCAGAGCCTTAGACTAGGTGGTTTCTTATTATGAAGCATCAACTGAAAACATCATTGCCATTAAGTTTCCAGGCCTTCATAATAAAACCAAATGGGGGCAGGGGAAGGGATACTTATCTCTCTCTTATCCATCAACAGTGGCAGAGGGTGGGTGAAGCAGGCAAGGGGGCCACTGAAGCCTTGCTATCTTTTCAGCTGACAGGGAGGGGGGGAGAGAAGCCGGGAGCCCAGAAGGCTGCCACGGCGCGCGCTGGCTGCGAGGAGCGCGCCTGGTTCACCATTCACATCAGATGGTGCGAGCCCGCAGCTCCCGGGATTTCCCACATCGCCCCATTCACAGTGTTAAACTGTCAACAAAAGACGTGTGCCTCGGCGGGTCCGAGAAGAAAGCCAACGCCTGCTGCACCATCTGCCCAGCACTTAAAGGAAGGGATAATGCTTTAATCAGTGGGAACTGGTTTAGCCCTTTGGAGTCCAGGGGCATTGTGCTGGGGATAGGACGGCGTTATTTGAAAGCACTTACTTCATATTTCCAGAACTGAAAATTGGGTCAAAGCTTCCCTCCCGTCTCACCACGCCCGCTGCTGCTGCAAACCTATTCCTTCCCAGCCGGTGCGTGGTGGGACCTGCTGTCCGCCCCGTCTCGTGTGGCCCCCAAGAGGTGCACAAAGCCGCCCGCGTGGCTTCAGGCTCCAATAACGGCACAAGCACACGCAGCCAGAGGTTGCCCTGGCCGAGAGCAACGCTGCTGGTTACGAGCTGACAAAATAATTTGGGGAACTTATACTGAATAGGACTCATGCTCCTCGTTCAATCAGAGGTTTTTAACAACCATCTATGATTAAAATTGTTAAACCCCGCGTGATTCATCCAAATGTAAAATATCTTTGGGCTGGGAAGAGGGGAGAAGGGCTCGTCAATGAAAATCACTGCCATGAGGAGCCAGCGAGTTGACAGGGGCTTTCTGTCAGGTTAATGACAAGTTACAGGATCATCCTTTGTGGGACCAAATCCTTTTACGCAACAACCCCAGGTGTGCTGGAACACGGCGCTACCTGGGTACCTACGGACACAGGTTTTGGCCCTGGCTCATTGAGAGGGATGCTGAGGCCAGGTGAAACTGGCCAAGCGAAGTAAGAGAGAAATGGCAGGTGTCCTTTCTGGTTTTGAAAGGCAGACATAGGAAGGAGGTAGGGTTTTCATGAAAAATTATTGTAGCAAGAAACAGGTATTCAAAAACTAACACCCCCAACCTGCTAGCTTATCAGCAGCAATCTAGTTTTACTGTCTGTTCTAGCCTCTGGCCATTGAACGTGCATTAAGGAAAAATAAAATTATGCCCATACACAACTCCCCTTTAAACCTCTAGGGCTCCACACACCACAGCTGAAACAGATGCACCGTAACAAGCAACTGTGAATTTGTCAATATGAGGCCTCACATGCCTGACTGACAGATCTCAAATGTGACGAGCTTTGTATCGGATTGTGCTTGGAGGGTAGCAGACCTGCACAGGCAATCGGGAATAGCCTGGAGAAAAACACCTCAAAAAGGCGGCTTTTAGTCCTGGATCCTATTCTGGTCCTTTCCACTTCATTACCCGAGGTCATTGCAACACATGGGGCACATACACCAGGAAAGGCCGAGAACAAGGAGAGTCACTGGGCATCCTAACATCTGTATTTACACTCTGCAAGTGGGGCACAAGCAAAGTAATAGATGAGAATTGACTTTTCACTGCATGTCAGTAAAGGGAAAAAATATATTTAAGTGCTTTACACAGAGCCTTGGGACGAAAGGGATGGTGGCAGGTTTACAAAGTGGCATGAAATTAAATAGGACATGTTTGGGAAAGGCATCATAATCGTTACATGTCACGGGCTGTTGCAGGAAAGCCCAGATTACCCAAACAAAAGCAAGGAAGAGCTCTCAATATAAATTATAGAGGGACTTCAGGCAATTAAACAATAGAGGGGGAAATATTTTGAGCTAACAGCTTTGCATAAATTGTTTTAAGGGTTCTTCCCTCGATTTTAGTCTCTAGTTGCTCAAAAATTATCTGGTACTGTATTCATCTAAGCATGGTTTAATGTCAATGAAAGGGTTTAGTCCCTCTAATTCCACATCTTTCCCTCTTCAGCCTCACTTTTGGTCATGGGTGTAGAGCATTATCTCCTCCCGGGATCGGTCCTCTGCGCTTAATTTCCCTGCAGCCTGGGAAAAGGCAGCACATTGAGATGTTGACATTCCCAACGCCAGGCAGAGGTTTGATTATAACGACGGCAAACGCTTTCCCACGTTCCTACCCCAGCGCCGTAATGCCAAGCCCTATTGTGTCACACGCTCCCCAGTCCACCTGCTCCTTTGGGAGCAGGGTATTATCCCCCGGCGATTCACAGTCAATTTGCCATGCTGCAATAGATGCTTTCTCTATTGTGCTGGGGCACGCAAGGATTGGCTACCGACTGTGGGAACCTCCGAGTCGTGCAGGACCCAGACATTTGTATGCAGCCGCCGCGTATAAATAGAGCGACTCCCGGCTCCCTTCTTCACCCGCTCAGCAGCGAGCTCCGAGCTGAAACCAGCACTGGGGATAATGGCACCCAGTGCTCTCTCCCTGGAAATCCTAACGCCCAAAGAGAAAAACAGAGTAAGTATCTGCTTCCTCGGTGACTGCGAGGGCAAAGAGCTGAGAAAGGGCCAAACCCCTTTAGCGGCAGGTTATACAGAGAAGGGAAGGGGAAAGCCTGGCTACTAACCGGCCTCCTCCCGTTCTGTGTTACAGCTGAGGAAGCCCATTGTAGAGAAATTGCGTCGCGATCGGATTAACAGCAGCATCGAGCAGCTGAAGCTGCTCCTGGAGAAGGAGTTTCAGAGACATCAGCCCAACTCCAAGCTGGAGAAAGCCGACATCCTGGAGATGACCGTCAGCTACCTGAAATACAGCCGAGGTGAGTACATGCACCCATCACGCTCGCTGCCCTTACTTTTAGGCAAAACTCCAGCATGAGCCTCCCGGCGTAACACTTCTCTCTTCTGCCCTCGCAGCTTTTTCAGCATCGGCCAAGAGCCTCCAGCAGGATTACTGTGAAGGGTACGCCTGGTGCCTCAAGGAAGCTCTGCAATTCCTGGCTCTCCACTCGGCAAACACAGAAACCCGGATGAAGCTCATCTGCCACTTCCAGAGGTCGCAAGCGGCACCTGCGGACTCTGGTTCTTCCTCTGCAGCCGCTTCCATCCACCAGCCCCCCACAAAACAAGCGTCCCTGAAACCCTCCTGCAGCCTCTGGAGGCCTTGGTAGGCCAAAAGTACGCTTACGCGTTGCCCGGACACTTGCTCGTATTCCAGAGGAGATTGTGACTTGCTCTGCAAGTCCCCCCACTCCTCTCGAGAGTAGGGAAGAATTTTTTCCTTTTGCAGAGCATGACTGTGCTCGGATGCCCACTGCCGTTCTTCCAGAAGGACCAAAACAATCCCACCACGTGGAGAGAAAAGTGATTCTTGTAGAACGTGTGATGTAATCCTCCCATGAGGAGGACTGAGAGGAGTTGTTCAGAGAGGAACACCAACTGTTCTTAACCTTAGTGAGGTTGTCCGCGTACATCCGTTGAGAAAGCAGTAACTTCTAAGAGACGTTCAGGCTAGCATTTTCAAAAGTGTCCGCTCAGAAGGAGCCCTCTCCTCTGACCTGCCCCACTTGAGATGCCCCACACTGGGGGCCCACGGTGTCTCAAGCAGAGCAGCCAGTCTAACGGGACACATTTGAAAAGCTACATTTCCTACGGGTGCCATAACGGGTTCTATGATATTTGTAGACGGTGCTGAGCACACTCTGAATAATGGTTAAACCATAACTCAAACTATGTAGAGGAAATTCCTCAGGATGTCTTGCTCACAAAAGCAGAGTAGTTTGTGAGGTTCAGGATAAGTATGCCTTTTATAAAGGTGAAAAGCTTGTTTTTATATCCTTATAGGAAAGGAAGTTATGGCCATGTTGTCGATTTTACAAGAGATATTTATCAAAGTCTTTCATGAAAGGCAGGCGTAAAAATTATATTTACTCTTTGGTACCCTACCACCAGGGGAGAATGTAAATTCCTTCCTGTCCTCGGAAGATGCTGTAACACTGTATCACCTGTGCCAGAAACTATCTTGAACTTCTGAAATGGCAGAAACTTTTAACAGTGTAAAAAAAATAAAAATAAAAAACTAGTTAAGAAAGACTGACTTGCTGGATTTATTGAGCAGTTGGCGTGGCTGACTTCCCTGAGGGCCCTGGGGCTTAAGGACATAAGATTTTAGTAAAAGCAAAGATATTCGGAATCAATTCTGCCTCCCTATTTTCCACGGCGGAGCACAGGGCGCTCCCAAAGAGCAAGCAAAGAGCAAACCCTC